CACACACACACACACACACACACACACACACACACACACACACACACCAGCTAAACCCAAAGGCAGCCAGCGAATCCAATCTCTCCTGGGGTTGCGCTCCACTCACCCTGCGAACTCGATATACTTGTAGATAGAGCCAGCAATAACCATGGCGACGATGGCGTAGTACCAGGAGCAGATGAACATGAGAGTGAGACACAAGCTCATCCCCAGGAAGGACAGAGCCCTGTGGAGAGACACAGAGAGTGAGGTAGAGGCCCAGAGAGACACATGTAGAATTAACTTAATATACAACGGACCAGTGGTAGAACTTGAAGCGGGGTCTCCAGTTTGGAGTTCTCAGTAGCGTCTGCAGAGCACAGGCCAAGTTCACAAACATGTAGCACATCAGGAAAAACCTGCAGGACACACACACAGACACTCAGTTTAAAAACAAAGCCCTTCTTATGTCCTTTGACATAATCGAGTGATTTCACCCTGATTGCAGTCCAAGAAGTGTGTTGTCTTAATATCCGTCACATTCGCTGGTATTTATATGTATTAGCAGAGCAGAAAAGCATTTTGCCCTTTGTGTGATGAGCTAAATCTTGAGCCCATAAAATTTGGCATTTGCATCGTTTAAGGAATAGCGGCGGACTTCCTGCTCTGAAGTCTCCCACTGTTGGTTCTTCAGAAACGGCAGTTAATTAGAGAGTTCAGAGCTCACATGGAGAGGATGGGAGCTACCGCATCCAGGGAAGCAATGAGGATGCCGCTCTCGCAGATACAAGCTGTCAGCAGGAGGGACCATGTGGGTTCTCCGTTGGCCTTTGCATGGCCGAAGATCTGTGGAGACAACACAGATACATTAACTGTCTGCTAGGTGTGCTGTTTGTCCCAGTATGTAAAATCATTGGAAAAGGCAAGGAAAATTATGACGTTGTAAATACGTAGACAGACTGACCCGGAGGGCGGGCACGATGCCGTCCTTGGCGATGGCTTGCATGAGACGAGGTGCTCCTGTCAGACTCTGCAGCCCCGCCCCGCAGGTGGAGAAGAAGGAGCCAATCACAATCACCCATGGTGACGGCCAAGCCAACGTGCCAATCACCAAATTCCCGTGGACTCCCTCTCCGAACCTTAAGGAGATGGGGAAAGGTTGTTTGCACTATTAATAGCAAGCATAGTATGGAAAGAATCATCAGTTGTTTACAGGGTTTGTTTGTCTCAGCTGACAAAGGATTGACTTACTTGTCCCTGAGGACCACACCCTCGATGCAGGCACCAAACAGAATCACACTGGACATGTCTAAGCAGTTATGCATCAGGAAAGTAAAAGTATTTCACAGACAGGGTGTCATTAATGCTCTTTAGATGAGACCTGTTTAGTGACGGACGGGACTTAATTAATAAAGACATCATCAACCTTTCCCTTTGAAGATGCACTGAATAATCTGATAAACCAATAAACTGTGTTTGCTGAGAAAAGACAATCAATCGATTTTGTTTAGGATAATATCTCAGAGATCAATGCCAATGTAACTAATATCCTTCTGCTTTATTAACTTGTGATTGCATGGGCAGCCCACTGATGCGATTAGACGTCCTAATCAAATTTGTTTGGACTCCAAGCTGATTACTCCGAGATACATCGAAGACAATCAAGATGGCTGCTTCAGAGTTAGAGGCCTGTTTGTTGAAGTACAGCCAAATGATGTGTCACGCGCCTCTTTTTTATGCTCAAGAATCTTTAGTGTTACATTGTTGTGCATCTTTTACTTCTGCTTCATCATTTTACAGCAGAAGACATTTTATATTAAATAAAACATGTTGGAGAACTCAGATGTATTTGATAGAATCTGAATTGTAAGTCGCTTTGGATAAAAGCGTCTGCTAAATGACTGTAATGTAATGTGATGTCATTTGAGTGAAAAACAAACTAGCTGATATTGGACTGACTCAGTAGCAATGCCACCATGAATTAAGAAAAAGAGAGTCAACGTCATCTCCCATGAACGATACAGGCATACTTCAGAAAAACGATGCAATGGCCCCAATCAAAATCAGACTGGTATTGTCGCAGTAATGACCTTTCACAAATCAAAATGTTGACCTTTAATTATGGCGCTCCCTGCACGCTAATCAGTGTGTTTTTGTTCCAGCGGAGCAAAGCGACCACGGTGCGTCGTCGCTTCAAGTCCCGTCAACATCGGACCAGTGGTGTGTGACGTATCATCGCTGAGCTTAAAATACTATATGAGTGGATATCTGGCTGGAATTCTTCAAGTACTTTAGATGTCTAGTATTCCTACTGTAACTGCGGCAAGTTTCATATTGCCCATACTGTATATATATAGTGTATTTATACCTCTTACTGTTTATTCCACATTCTATTTATTCTGTATTTTGTACATATTCTGTACATAACTCCACACTTTACTTATTTTTGCACTTAGATGCTAAACTGCATTTCAGTGTCTCAGTATTTATACACTGTGCAATGACAATAAAGTTGAATATAATCTAAACAAGGTCATAATTAGGATTTGTGTAACATTAACAATCCTGTAAAGTATATTTGCCTTGTAATGTCTTCTCTGGGATACAATATTTGATATATGGCATCATTTTAAATATCAGAATTGTATGGAAAACTAAAATATTTTTGAAATTGGTCTGTGCAGCGACCCTGGCTATCCTGTAGGGGGCAGTAGTGGGAGGATACAGACAAAGGAGGTGGTGGTGATGGCTGCAATGGTTCCAATGGGGATGGACTTCTGGGCATCCTTCAGGTCTCCAGAGCGGTTGGAGCCAGCCATGATCCCTGAACGCATAGTCGAGAAGCAAACATTAACAAGATCAAGGAGATTCACACACATACAAACACAGGGCGAGTTGGCAGAAGCAGAATATCAATAATCCAGATCTTCACCTGTCACAGAAGGGAAGTAGATGCCGACCAGCAACGTAAAGAAGCTGGCGATGTCGGCCAACACGTAGCGGTTTGCGTTGGTCAGAGGGTCGTCCGGGTCCTCCACTGAGTCCATGTTATTTCTGGCAATCAGATCCCCTTTTTCATAGTAGATCGGAAACATGTTCTCTGGACGGGCGAAAGGGACGTGGAGAAGAATTGAGTGGAGAGAATCTAAGAACACCTGAATTACTTGAGCTATGCAGTTAACAGTGATTTCTACTTTTACATAGTTACTTTGATGCTCTGTATTTGTTTTACAATAAACACAAACAAAATGCATTCCAGGAGTTATTTCGTAGGGATTTTAAGCATATTCAAGTCGAAGTATGGTCGTCTCCCACCTAAACCTGCTGTGGTGCTCCAACTGTGACTTTTAAGAGCTAGCCCCAAAAACAAATACACGGTAATCAGATCACTAGTATAAACCACCGTTTGGTTGATTACATTGCTGTCATAAAGCAGCGTCTTCTAAACATACAGTGCCTATAAAAAGCACTGAATCAAAGAGGGTTTAATGTGACTTTTTTACACTAATCAACAGAAAAAATATATTTATGGAAAAACACATTACATACCAACAATTACAAATAAAAACAAAGTATTCACCCCCTTTAATAGGTGACAGGTGAAGCCATTTGGTTGTAGAAGTCTCTGACTAACTGCCATTAAAGGGTTTTTGTTAAAACATTCATAGAGGGTGAATTATTTTTATAGACATATTAACAAGGCTTTGATTTTTTTAAACGTGGATCCTTAACACGGGGCTTACTGTTAGCCCTGTCATAACGAAGAGAGAGAGAGAAACGAGGTTAAGCTAGCTCTGGGCTTTCCATAGCCTCGGGTTTCTGGTAGCCCACGGCTGACAAATGTAAGCGCTGCTGCAGTCAGGGTCCCTTACTTCATCATTTTCCACATTTCCAGGAAAGACTTTCAGACTCTGATATTTATTTCTATATCACAGACTTCAAAAAAATCTATTCTAATCCAATTTAGCAAGTTCAGTGAATCTGTTATTTATCAGTGACAGCCTTCCTTAATGATTTAATTATTCCTTATTTATGCTTAATGCCCCTTATTGTTTTTCCTATTTGACTACAGATGTTTGTACAACAGAAAATCACTCAGAAATACAAAGCTCACAGCTTTAACCTGCTTTAAGACATCTGTTCCACAATATTTCAGTTTAACAAAACCCTTTTCCTTTTTGTGTTTGTGTGGACATGCAGATCCTTAACCGATAAACCAACCTGCCAGGATTCCACTGGTGATCCCTGGGATGCCCTGTATCTTGGTCACATTGTTGGATGTGAAGTACCTGTCGCAGGTAGCATTGAGTAAAGGTGAGTCACAGAACATGCGCCACAGCTGGGTGGTGACGGTCCCGTTAGCTGTCTCAACGGTCTTGGCACACACATCGAAGTTCTTCGAAACCAACGTGCGGTTGCCCAAGAGACACACACTGGAGAGAGGAAAAGCACAAAATTAGTTTTTGACGTCTTGCATAATACAAATAATAACATAAAGCATTAATACAAATAACAACATAAGCAATAATTATAATAGAAACATTTTATAAAAACAATAATCATTATTATAAGAATTTGAATATTTATAACATCAGAATAATGATAACAATAATAACACATTTAATTACAAAATGCCACATTTGAAAGTCAAAGAATCTCATTTGTTTGAAATTTCAAAGACAACGCTAACAACACTATTCTCACCAGGAAGCACTGATTTCGTGATTTTTGACGTCCACACGTCCGAGCTAAAATGTGTTAAAGTGTGTTGAATAGTAGACGTCTAGGTTACATGTAACTGTTGATTCATCAGCATCTTAACAACTATACTTCAGTGTGTAGCAGATTTAGCTCCAACTTAACCTACAAGTCTAAATGTCTTGGAGCTGGTCAGTACGAACTGTAGTGTTATTGGCACACGGGGGAAATAAAGCTGAAGGAACAGAAACGTGTCAAAGCAAGTGGAGTATTTCAATGAAAACAAAACAAATACTTTGTTCATTTAAGAGCTTTCAAATCAACTCAGATGGCTATGTAGCATCCAGTCAATGTAGTGACATGTTGCTACACACCTAGCGCGTGTTGTGTGCTTGTGTTTATACATCAGGTGTGTTTCTCCGCCTGGATGGGGGGTCATGGTTATGTTTTGAAGGCTAAGCTTGTATTCTTTTGGACCGTCTTGGTCGTCACAGCTTACGGGAAATCCGGAGCATCGATGCCGGTCTTGATGACGCCGGCGTAGACGGCCAGGATGGAGAGAATGACGCAGGCCAGAAACACCAGGGCCAGCTTGTTGACGTACTTCACGCCGACAAACACCACCGTGGCCATGGAGGTCAACAGGATGGTCCCGTACACGCGCATGTTGTTCAGCAGGGCGGCCTCTGCCTCGGCGCCCTCCAGGCCCTCTAGGGGAAAGATTGCTGCCTGGGGCACTATGTAGATCTGAAGCAGAAGGTTGTGTTATTATTGTTTTCCCCCTGTATATACGTATATCCAGGGATATAACACCGGCAAATTTTCTCATAAAACTTCCATACAATCTCATTGTTGCTCAAGGGCATCATGGTGGTAGATGTTCAGGGAGTGTTACTCATCCACTTTCCCTCCTCACTTTTCTACCAGCCTGTCTGGGGATTTAAACTCGCAGATATCAGGTCACAAGCCTGCTCCTCTAGTTCACTGTTTACTGCTGAATTTAATAAATTTCACCCTCGGTAAAAAAAAAAGAAAAGAAAGAAAGGATAGCCGAAACATAATAAAAGAGAGGTGAGAAAGGCTTGAGGTGAGTGAGGAGGACAGCTCTGTGAAGTGTGAAAACATGTGACGCTCACATTAACAGTCCTTGACTGGAGCTTGAAGCCTAAAACTGCTCTGCTATTTTAATTTAGCTTAATTAAAGAACTCAAGCGTGGTATTAATATTCAAAATGAACGGCCTTTATTACACTTTTACTACGGGTCAATCCAAGAATAGTACCATCATATATAAAAATGGTAAACCCCTAATCAGCCCGTCAGTATCTGTCATCAGCTTTAGATGATTCATGCCGAAGCGCTTACATAACCATGGGAATTTTTTTTCAAGTGATCATTTGGTTTCCACCCAAAACAGTTGAATCACCATAAAGAGGAAATCAAATTGAGAAGTACAGGCAGGGAGTCGTGGTTCATTTTGGCCATTTGGCTGAAGAAAGTGATCTGGTGCTAAGAGCAGCATTATCACTAGGCAAACAAATCTCCTGCTTCGCTGTGAACTGTTCGTGCTTCCTAAAATAGCAGCATCAGTTTGTGTTCTTGGCTTGGGTGGAAGGATGAAACGTATTCAAATCAGCCCTCTCCAGATCCGCTCCGTACAATTCTGCAGGGATTGTTATTTTACAATGGAAACTAAGCCAGCTTTGACCCAGAAGACAGAATTAACCTCCGGGCATGATCAAACTCTGCATATCCATTAGAGGCAACCAGAAGGAGAATAATGGAAGAATACAAAAATAAAAAACACACTCCGGTAGGTTGATAACAGTGGACCAAAGTGATGAGAGCTGTTTCAAGGAATTGCCAGTGTCTTGATCGCTCACTAATGCAGTATTTGCATAATTACCCAACAGAGGGGGACTGCAGTGGAAGGAGTGTAGAATAAAAGGCAGAGGAGGAGGAGGAGGAGGAGGAGGAGGAGGAGGAATGAAGATCGAGATGAAAGATCCCTGCATTTCGTCAACTGATGAGAATTCACGTTTAAAGAACACTCAGCTTGAGAAAAAAATAGCTTCAAAGCACTTTGAGGAGGAAAATAAACTGAAGGAGAGCTGTGTTTTTCAAAGGCATGTGTGATGCACTGCTAGGTGTCATTTTTATTGGGAGCACAAGACTTTTTTTTCCACATTTGCCAATTCTCCATTATTTTTTACTTTTAATGCACTGACGTGTCACCAGTCCACAGCAATCAAGCTGCACTGCATTCTGCTGACAGGGATACAGTGACATCAAACATTCTTCCTGGATTATATTCTACTCATTTAGACTTTGATTAAAAACCTTTTAAATACACAGTGAAGCAAAAAAATACATTTTCGAAGTTCTAATCCTGTCTTTTTTTTTAAATATATGTCAAAAAAAATTGGAACATTTTTGGTCAAAGTGTTTAAGTTGTACATATCTTAAACATATATTTCTATGATTGTCATGACAATAGTTAAAGGAAAAGCTCGCCATTTTGGTAAGTACTACTTTTAGTCAAGTCATGCTGGTTAGCTTAGCTTAGCATAAAGACTGGAAACAGGAAGAAACAGATAGCTTAGCTCTGTCTAAAGCTCATTAATTACCACGTAATATGTTGATTGTTTAACCCATGTCTGAATTTTTGAAGCTACTAACTGGCGGCTGGCTGTTGCTTCATACTGAACGCACGGACATGAGATTGGTCTTAATCTTCACATCTAACTTGGCAAGAAAGTGTATGTCAAACTATTCATTTAACCTAATTGCTCCGAGAAACTGCTTCTGCTACGACTGCTATGCCGACTGCAACACGAGATCAATGAGAATGACATGTCAGTCAGACACCGGCTAACATGAACACAGTGTCAGATTGAATAGTAGAACGGAAAACAAAAATGGTCTTTCAGTCTGATTAGTCTAAGACATTTTAATATCAATGATACCTTTTTTAGAAAAGAGAAAGAAAGTGTTCCCATATTCTCAGTAGACATCAGTGGTTGGTTTCCTGAATGCCTCTTTGCTGCTGCTTGTGTTTTGGCTCCTTGCCTCATATAATTGAACCATTTCCAATATTGGCACACGTTTTGGGCCGGAGCAACATGGAACCAAATCTTTCATGTATCACCAACATAATTGAATCTAAGGGTTTATATTCAATCATGGCAATTCTGAACTCGGTGCTCAATCATATCACCTTCCTCTCTCTAGCGCTAGCTTTTGTGAGTGTTATCACTATGACAAAATTGTCAAAAGTATGATGTTGCAGAGTTTACTGCTGGGAAGGAAAAGCTGTGCTTTGAGTGGTCATCCCCCACTAACCTCGCAAAGTGATCCCATTATTTTCCCTTTCACTCATTGCGGTCTGGCAACACTGCACGAATTGAATTGAAATGGATGTCGTTTCAAGTAGGTTGCACAAAAGAGTGTTCTCCTTCTCTCACGTCGACATGAACCCACTTACTGGGCCGTCAGTGGTCTTTGCTTCAAATTTCTGGTCTGAGAAAACATGGCAGCTGTTCCCAGAATAAATCTGAGGTTTGCATTACTCTCTGACAAACATTCATATGACTTGGATTTATATTTGATTGTTTATACTTTAGCCCTAAATTTCAACTTGCACTATTTTATGTCTTAGATTCAGCTTTTACTTTCCTTTTAGATTTTCTTCTTTTTTTAAACATATTTACTGAGCATTGTTGAAAAAAGACAGAGATCCAAGATTATCATTGCCAACTGTAACTGTTGTGCATTTGATAATAAAGAGCATGGAACTTGAAATCTATATCTTGTTGCTAGCGTTGAGCTAGTTCTGCTTTGTGTTTGTTTAAACCGGGTTAGTATGGCAGCTTTTGATATGGAGGAGTTTGTGGCTAATCCTTCTCTCACTCAGTTCGTGATTTGTGGGAGATGGCGATGTATTATATTCCTGTTTCGAGTTCACTTTCAAAAGGGGAACTCAAAGCAGTTATTCTTAATAGTTTGTGTAGTAAGGGTGTCCGGTAGAGTCTACTGGTTTAGAGGCCGCGGCAGTGGCAGCGGTATCTCCGGGTGACGGGAGCTCTGATCCTCCAGGGTGGAAGGCGACCAAGCAGCAGCCGGTTAGTTTCACACCGGCTGTGCAGAGCGGTAGGGCGGAAGCGAAGCCGCACACTTTGCCCCAGTTTGATCCCTTTTCTGAGGAGTCAACTCCTGGTTCTATGTTTGATGCTCGGTTAAAGGTGTGCCTGGCTCGTCTTCAATTAAAAAGGAAGAGCAAGAGTTTGAGCTCCAGAGGGAGTTAGAGTTAGAGACCGCTTTTAGGATCTTATCTACAATGCCTTATTTGAATAGTTGTTAAGAAAGTACTTTTTAGACACACTCTTCCAAGTGACATCTCAACTGTTGTCACTCACCTCTCGCCACAAAACCACTGAGTCCACTGGTGGGCTCACGCTGCAAATATTGTGACTGGCACAAAAAATGTAATCCTTAAAAATGTAAAGATAAAGCAGGTGAGGACTGTAACAGAAAAAGAGAGAGGATATTTCTCACCAAAAGGAGCTCAATGGCCCCCAGGATGTACATGGCTCCAGCGTAGGTGGTCCCCAGATAGAAACAGATCCCCACTGCTCCCCCAAACTCAGGGCCCAGCGAACGGGATATCATGTAGTAGGCACCTCCAGCTGCACACACACACAACAGTGTTAACAGAAAATGTTTGTATGTAAATAAATGAAATGCAATGAATAGAGATGCACCGATACTGATATTGGATATCTGTTCGATTCTGACTCAAATATCTGGATCTATTATCGGATGCCACTATTTCAATAAATAACAATTCACAACATTTCCATCTATGTATGGATTTGTTACATTTTGTCATACAAAGTCAAGAAATCACTGTTTAAAGCTACTACAAGGGACTTTAATTTTGTGTTGATTTTGTCAGTCCCTGTGAACAAAAGTGGTCGTGAATCCGAGCACCAGAGTCCCTGAGGAAAACCTCTAATTTCACTTCGGCAGGGTCCGACAGTCTGCTCCGCTCAGTACTGGTTCTAATTCTCTTGTGCCTCCCTTCCCTCCGGGGGGACCAGTAATACGGGCTTCGCCTCCAGCAGCGTGGGGTCGGTGTCTCCCAGCCATGTATTCAACCCAAAGTATTCAATTTATAATAAAGAAAAGTAGGAAATTGCCAAGTTTGTGGAACTATAACAGGTTAATGTTTGCAATTTTTATTTAAAAAGTTATTAATTGATTGTCACACCAGGAATTGATCATATTTTTAAAGACTTAGTTTTTATGTAATTGTAAAGCTGTGCTCTCAAATAGCCGTCATTTTGGTTCTGCCATTTCTGTCATCGTGTTTTTACCACAGTGCTTCTATTTCCTAACAGTGTGCAAATAAAGTAACCAAGCATAAATAAATAGAGCTTAATCAGCACTTTGCAGCAGCATAAAGGCTGGTACCAGTTATAACAGACACAGTTATAATTGGTGTACAGTTCCACACATTTCCACAAGCCTGTAATTTGCTGACCCCTGCTGTATGCACTCCGACTGGTAAGACGCAGGCCATCATTACTGTGTAAACTCACATTATAAAATATAGTTATACTGCATAATGTGTCTGCATACAGATACAAATACATACCTTCAGTTTTATGTTTCAAGCATTTGGCTGACGTTGTATTTTGTGTAAATTACATTGTGTGGCGACAAGTTAAAGACTCCAGACTAAAGCTTTCAATGTTTTTGGGGATATCAAGCTGCGCTGGGCGTAATGCGCCAAAAGCAATCAGTGAAAAAGAAGATTTTAGAAGCGGACAGACTCAAACAGGGATGACTGTGTGGTGCCAGCGTCTGCTCACCCACCTGGCACTACTCCATTGGTAGCGATGGCACTCATCGAGATGGCAGTCAGCATGGTCTGCACAGAGAGGGAGGGGGAACGACAGAGGAGCAGAAAGAAGAACATTACATCATATTCAGCAAATTCTGCCTATTCTGTGAAGAGCTGATTCCTGAGTTTCTCATCCTCTACTCTACAAATTCTACTTAAAAAGTAGAATTTGTTGTTTTCTTTAATAAACTGTTAATTAAACCCAATTGTACTGAATGACAAATAATTGGTTTTCATCTGTAGTTGTAACAAAGTTCATGATCAATATATCTCAACAAAACTTCGGGTCAACAGCAATGATACTCAACTGACGAGCCACAGAAGGTGCCAGACGGCCCGCCGACCCTTTTTAAATTATTAACAAAATTAATTCATTGGGAGTTTTTGTACTCTTAATGCTAGAGTGCATAAAAAAAAGCATCAAAACAGACTAATGGAGCTGGTTTATAAAAATCCCCCAAATGTTCTCAAATGAATTCACAACTAAAATGCAGTTGAAGTTATTAAATGAGGTAAAATATCTGATTCATCTGTCATATAAGTGCTAAAGGAAGGAAAAGTCAAGATCAACAACAATCTACCCAATAGTTGTTGAGATATTTCAGTCAATGGGCCGAGTTACACTGTTTCAATTTTATGTCATCCCTCATTTAGTATAAATCACTTCCGCTTTTCTGTCAGACAACAACTTTCAGAAGTGAAATCATACTTTCATTTCCTCCCAGTGATGCCCATGATATCAGCGTCAGGCCTGTGGTATATAACAGCAACATAACCTGTGAGATTACGTAAGGACAACACCAATTTACGGCAATGCAGAAGCTGACCGGTTGTTGATTAGATAAACAATAATGCCACCAGGCCTGTCAACAACTGTCAGAGCATTCAGACAGCCAATGACAACTCTAATGTAACTCTGGTGCTGAGAGAAAAACACCGGCAGAAATGTAAGGGCATGCTCGGATGGAGTTCTGCAGAGGAAGGGAGAGAGAGAGAGAGAGAGAGAGAGAGAGAGAGAAATGCTGGCAGCGAGTGGAAGAATGGGCCAGAAAAATAACAAATGACAAAGTGAGAAAGAGAGAGGGTAGTGTGTGTGTGTGTGTGTGTGTGTGTGACAGAACAAAGACAGCGTTAAGATTTCATCATTCTTTTTTCAAATGCTATTGTTGAATTTCTGAGTGTCTTTTTACATTTTCTGCACATGAAAGAGAGCGACGGAGACATAAAGAGAAGCATGAGGAGACATGAGGGCAGGCTGCTTAAATCAGTGCCATCTCTCCACTGCTGTAATACTTTTCCATTTTTATTGCTGTTGCATTTTTTGTTTTAGTCATAGTTTCAATGTTTCAAAATATGCCCTTTTACAGTCCAACCTATCTTCATACAGCTGTTACTGCTTCAGCTCTGACCCACTTTGTGAAAGCTTTCACATTTGCAAAAAACTGTTGACGTACATATTCAGTATGAGATGGGTCTTTACCTCTTTGTAACATATGTTACAGCAGCACATCAGTGGTACAGAAAACAAACTGGGTAATCCAAATGTCAACAATGACAGCCATCTACTCCGTTATCTACAGAAACTGACTGCACAATCGGGAAAAATTGACCAAACTACTTTTGATCTTACGGATTATGAATCAGAGCCCGACAGATGCATCAAATGATTTGAGCTAATCACAGGTTATCGGTATATGCGTCAGCTGATAAGTAACGAGCAATCGCAGCAGAAATAAGTCTGAGTTTGAATGTTTATTATAGTTAAAGATCCCCTCCAGATATATAATAAAACATTTAAAAAAATGTGTTTGTGTTCATTGATGAAAAAAGGCTGTGTGGCAGCGAGAGGACTATAACACAAAGGGGCAAAACTGCTTCTGTGTCAATGCATGCATGCCTGCGGTCGCAGCTATAGCTGAATGTGGGCTTGTTTAGTGGTAAAGAACTGCATTTCCATTTATTTGGGGCTCATTTTTTAGCTCAACTTTAATACATTTTTGTTATGAATGTTGTTTAAAGTTGTTTTAGACAGATTTTGTTTCCAGTAAAGGTAAGGTTAAAATTGACATTTAGTCAATTTATAACTTTAAAAGACACATGCCAGTATAGATGTTAATTGCAATTCTTTAATACCCCAAAATGTTGATATAAAACCATATTGTCTGACAAATTGTTTTAGTTTTTTAAACTCTGAAATATCAATATCAGTATATATTAAAAAAAATAAATAAAAAAACAATAATAATAATATGACTCCAGTATGAATTCAATGTTGTAATGGGTTTTACTTTTGATATCCTCTTTGCGAAGTGCTTTACTTTCGGAAAAAGCTTCACCCATAAATGTGATTACAAAGTATAAAAAACAACATTGAATAGTATTGTTTTCATTCATTGTCACTCAGAAGTCATTGTAGTTTTCCTGCCCTGCAGTCCCTGAAGATGAAGACACAACATTGGTAACTTGGACCAGCAATAAAGAGTGAGACTTATAATGGAAGAAAGGCCTGGCGAGTCCCAGCCGGTTATGTTATACTATCATTACGTCCGTCTCTGTGAAGACTGTAATGTGGTTAGTGTCACCTGAGGGCCCGGTGGACTGAAGGATCAGGAGTGAAGAATGAGTGGGACTGGGCTCTGTTTCTCTCTCTAATCTAGTCGTAATGAGGCCACCGGCTCTTCTCACACCACAGCAGATAAGACAGTAATTGTTTAAGTGTTTTATCTGATGTGGGCAGCAGCCACGCAGAGGTAGTCTGTCGCATACTGAGTCTCTGAATCACCGCACAACTGGACAGGACAGCCACCAACAGAATGATATGACTTAGACGGACTAGTACAGTCAAACATGTAAGGGTAAAAGCCAATACGATTAGAAAGGAGTCAAACATTCTTTTTCAGAAAAGCCTTATTTTGTCTGTAAAATGGTAATAATTAAAATCCCTGACCTGATCCCTGATCGAGTGTGGAGGGCAGTTACATTTTTTTTACCTTTTCAAAAATCAAAAAAATCAATCAAAAGTGTGTTTCCTTCCTCTAACTGGAAGCATTAGCATGTCCTACTAACTTGTTTACTACCATAAACAGTCTATGTTACAGTCGTACGGCTAACGTCCTATTTCCTCTAAACTACATCATTAACTAACTATATTATTTTGTGTGGTCGCTAAAGTAAATGTTCAAAGAAGGTTATGTGATTTTTACATTTTTCCTCATCATACCCTGCTGGGTGTATAGGACTCATCATCTCCAACCTGCTTTCAATGTCTTCTGCAATGAGCATCAGCTGGTGAGGATGCAGACTTTTCACCCGGGACACGCTTCAGTCTTATAGCACAGTATCATTTATGAAGCCATCGAGTGCACATTGAAGGTCTTTTCACAGGCTTCTCATTTGAAAACGAGTCAACCAATGATCATGTAGCTAACGATAATTACCTAGCTAGATAGCTACAGCTGGTAAAGTATGCTAGTGACACCAGTTATTACCTTTAAGCATTCGATGTATAGGAATCTACTCATACAATGTAAGTATTTTGGGGAACATTTGTGTAGCTCGATATATGAAATTGGTTCCCACCGTAGAGTAGATTGGTGTTTGGCATTCATGCCTTCCTATTGAACATGAGGTCTGAAATGTGAGGATGCGCTCCTTATTTAAGATAGCTATTCATTGTTAAAAATCAGCTGCCTGATGAAGGTCTCGCAAAAAAACGTCACAAATAGTTTTTCAAGTCAGAGAGTGTGCGGGATTTTGTTTGCAAATGTTAACAGTCCGCAGGACATTAATATGGTCCAGACATAACAAGCTACAGACAGGATACAGGAACTCGATCAAGCATTTAGTCTCTGCAGAGATCGGTTATTTCACTTCTACCCGCTGGTTAATTCTTGATGGTCTGTCATCTTCTTGATGCAGATAGCAGATGATTTTTTTTCTTCTTTTTTTTATGAAATCCTATTTGGTCAGCTTCCTTTTACTTTTAAAAGTGTCCTACTTTTATATCACACAACTCCTCTGGGCGTCACTGCACACAGGGTTATTAACAAATGATATCAATCAGCTGCTGTCACAAACACTGAGCATCACTCTAACGGTCCCGCACCGTTTGCACTGATCTCAGACGCTCACACAGGAAAATGAATCTGATCTGAAGTGTAAAAGAACTTGACATGTAGATTAACTATCTCAAATTCAAAACTAACATTTTTCCTCTTTTTGTCTTATATATTTCACCTGGTCACATGATTGATGGCCAAAGAGCCCAACTACTTTACCTGATGACCTCATGTGTGAATCAGCACCTGATTGGTGGACTGCTCTGGAGGCAGCAGTGTTCTGTTGTAGTAGGCAGGTTGTGCTGCATCCTTTTTCCCACTAACCCAGAGCCCGTTTTATCGTCCCACTCTCAGGCTGTGCAGGGCCTAAAACTCTGACGTTAGAGAGTTTCTTTAATAGAGTATACGCCGTACTGGTCTGGTTTACTAAAACCATCTTTCTCTATGAAGCCTAGAGCGACTGTACCTCCAAAGTCACCATGCATCCACACGCCCTCTGGCCTCCAAGCGTGCCCGTAGACGGCGTCAGATTATGCTCTGTCTTGTTCATATGAGGTTACATATCTGTTAAAAAGGACGATTTCCTTCCAAGGCAGTGTGAATGCTGGTGAAGCTAGAATAATTGCTAAGCCGCCATGATTACGTCTGAGCCTGAGGAATGCATTTGGCGAAGGAACTAATTTAAATTTTTAAGAAAAGTCTGCTGATATAGCCGTGACACTGACAGCAAAGGACACTTAAAGTCTGTTTCTTCCCAGAGCTACAGTCAAACTCTGATTTGGCCTTTAGTCGACCTCGGACTTCAGCAGAAATTAGTTTTGACAGGAATGGAGTTTCCACACTGCCCTCAGAGCGTGCTTCATTAGCATGCTTCATTATACAAATGCAGAAGTTTTGTCAAGTACAACTTCATCAATTCACATACAAATGTACAGTAGACGTCTATTTCCAGTGTGCTGTTCATCACTTGAAGTCCCTGTGGATGGTATACTGCAGAAGGCAAAAGTGTCAGGTGAAGGAGAAGAAGGTGTTTTTTTTACTTTCAGACTGACATCGGGGGGAAGGAGACAGAGCACAAGAGGACGAGATGCAGCTGCTTGAGCGAGGCGAAGGAGAGAGGTGGCGAAGCAGCACAAAAATTGGAAGGTAGGTGAAAAGAGAGGCAGAGGAAGCAGACAGGGGGGGGGAGGAGGAGAGGAAATAATGAGACAGTAAAATAAAAAAAAGGGTTAGAGAAATTGAGATGAGAGTGAAAAATGAAAGGGATGAAGGAAGAAAAGCATCCTTAGCATTTAAATGAGTCACGACAGAGGGCAGACCACCCTTCCCCTCGCAGCATTTGGATTCAAGACCTGGAAGTAATGAGGAAGGCCAAACAACAGATGACTCTCCATCTAGAATATTAAACCTCATTTTATCTTGGTGACAAGCCTGCATTCATTATCTGGGCAATAAATACACACATGCAGCGCTATGTTTGAATGTATCAGCTTAGAGAACGTCGTCTGCGGTCATACACTGGCTATTAAAATGGTCGTGTGTATAATTTCATAGTTAATGGTTTGTAATGTGTCAATGCTGTTACATCCTTCATATAATAACGACTCCCACAATGATCGTTAATGTTCCGTCACAATGTTGCGCGACGGAGAAATAACGGTGTAAGTGTTCGACAGTTGCAGATACGTGTCGCTGTGATTGATCATCTAATGAAAAGTGCTCCGTCACTGATATCCCATCACGCATTCATGTGAATAAAACATGGGCTGTATTTCATCAAGCTTTACATCATGCCTTATCCCTTCCCACTTCAAGTCCTGTGGATTTCACAAAAGGTGGGGATGGCTGCGTACATGTATGTACACACAGACACACACACACACACACTCCTGCGATGTGTTGCTGGCAACCCCTGGAGGGCTGGGTGGTTATGTGTTATGTAAGGAGCTCAGGAGGAGAGAGGTGGGGGTTTCTCACACACCGTTCACGCTCAGGCTTATCGCCCCGGGGCTCTGCAATGAGCTCGGTGTGACTGATAAGAAAAAATGTGTGTGTGCGTGTGTGTGTGTGTGTGTGTGTGAAGGATAGAAATGGTGAGAAAAAAATGAAGAGGGGAACCAAATGTATGTTTAATGGATTAAATATCCCTCAGTATGTGACATGTAAATAAATGTCTGTGTGTGTGTGAGCAAGCATGAGATGTTTTCGCATAGAATCTGCATTTCAAACTGAGTCTGAGCTTTGATCTTGGAGTATTTTTTTTTACAATTTGACGCTATGTTTAGTATAAAAGAGGCTTCCATGGAATATCTTTTCCTGTTTTAGAAAGTAGATGTATCAACAATTACACTGGGATAAAATTAGTGTTCGTACATTCACCAACGAAACATGATTTAAAAATGATATACGATACAGTCAAAAATCAGTTATTGCACCTAATTAGCAGCCATTTTACAGTTTTTAATATCCATGGAAATGATGAACATATTTCTTTGAAAAATGGTTCCGTTTTCAAATGAGTAAAACAATTAAATAAAACCAGTCAAAGAAAAAAGATACTGCTTTCCCTCAGTACGCCATTTCAAAGCCCTCTCTTCACTGTCACAGAGAAACATGATTGGGAAGCATATTGCCTGTGTGTCTGTGCAGGCAACTTTGCTATGGTTGGGATTTGAGGGGGTTGTTCTATAAATACACTCTGTGCTAGAGGAGAATCTAGGCTGCACAAACACACAGACATGCCAACATACAGTCCTGCCACATCGCACGCCGCAAACAGAACGACACACAGCGCTGACAGCTGATACACAGCACAGTGTGATTAAACCGCATTGTACGAGAACTTAAGAAGGGTTTTGTTGCAGTATATATTAAATAGCTGACATAGGATGTTGTGAAATGCATTCACCTTCTTCCTCCTGAATAGACGTTGGGCATTCAGTGAGGAGGCACATTATATGTTCCCTGACAATCAAATGCATCAAACAAGTCAAACACAATCAGAGTGGAACAGCCACTCAGATCACTGACAGCAGCGCCGTCGATCCTGTGGGACTGTGTTTTGTAATTTGCGTCCCATGGCCACGACTGGGTGTCTGTCCAACACCAAAGTCACTCTGACACATGACACCCTCTGACATTAATGGGAACCAGGGAACATCACAGTGTGTCATAATCCATTTTGTTCTTTTTACAGATCGAATGTGCGGCGTCTTTACAACTGAAGCGACGAAAGAGGGGCACCTTCCTTCTTTCTGCCTACCACAATGGCAACCTTGTTAAGTACAACACAATTGAAAATAGTCTTCATAGCTACTGTCATGGGACTGCAGTTCCAGCATCATTAAACTCCCCCAATGGGCAGTATGATCGGAGGCTAAAATAAGATACAACTTCTTCCCATAAACTGCTGCCTTAACAAGGATTTGCTGGGTTTGAAGCAGAGTCAATATTTCCACTTTAGCGAGGAAAGATAGTTATTTTTTGCCTCTTAACCGGTAGTATGTTATTGTGTGTGTCAAGAGGCAACACTGCTACTCACAGGTTGGTCCACATGTCAGGCAGTGATAAGGGACATTATGTATAACTATATTTGTATAATTACTGGTAGAAAACAGCATTCCTTCATTGCCATGAAGACGGGCTCTGAAGTCAAGTCTATGGCGAGTTGATCCCACATACACCATTCTGCTGCTGTAAATACTCACTAGCAGCTGGATATAGGCTGCAACAAATGCACCATTTACTCCTGTTCAGTAGCATTGGCTGAAAACTATAATACCCAGGTTTAAGAAATTACTCAGACTTTTCTTAAAAAAGAAAAAAAAGAATACATCATCAGGGCCAATTCTTCTAGATGTAGGTCTTCAGTGGGAGTGGGAAGGTAACAGTGAATATAAAGTCTAACTAATATAACAAAGGCTTTGCAGAGCCCAAATTGACTTTCCCTACTGAGGAGACCAACATTATTCAGAGACTTTGTCCCTCCCTGCAGTTCTCTGCAGGACAGCTTCAGCTTCAGACAGGAAGATGATGGTCAAACTAAAAGTACTGTAAACTTTGTGCTAATAGCAAATTTTCCTGTTAAACAACTGAGGAACCATTTACGTATAAAATAACCAGATGCTTTTGGCGAATCCAGTGAATACCTGACAAATCAAGGTACTTCATCATATTCATGCAAAAGTCATATAAAAAGGCTGCATTGGCCTAAACCACTCACAGATACAGTATTAAAGTGATAGCCGCTTTATAAATAGTAAACAAAATTTCCCATGAGAGACAAATTGATATTATCTGATGTTATAATAGTGAACATCTGGTATCTTTTCGTACTGCACAGCTCATTAGATACCCGTACACTATCTGCTGCCACGGCTGCGCTAATATGCTGCTCTTCAGTTTAAGGTCACTTGTTAATGAGACTTTTATGTGCTGCAACAGAGGGCTAAAATAAAAGCAGGCAACACACTCACCGTGGTACAGCACATGAAGACGATGATGAAGGTCCCGACGACACCTCCGATTCCCACCAACCAGGTCATCCTGAGGAACAGGATCACTCCGAAGATGTTCTGGATGCACGGCATGTAGACACCCATCAGAGTGCCGAGCTGGGGGGCCTGAAGGAGGACGAGGGCAGAAGTTATTGTTTATAAAATGCCAAATAAGGTTAATTTATAAGCTTTATTTGCAACATGATTGATCAGTGGTCATATCCCCAGACATGACTCATCAGTCGGCCTGCAGTGACACAGTTTTTTATGTAAGTTTGATGAAGATTAAATTCCAGTAATTGAAATTTAGAATCTCAGACTACAGACGGTGAATGTGAAAACTGTCTCTTGCGTATTTGCTAAAAGCCTGACCCACCAGATTTGCAGGACTCACCGAATGACTCCTGCTTCACTTTGGGCGTCAGTAAGAATCAATGAAAGTCAACACACCAGCCGTGCATGCTGGGAATCACGGTGTGCACATTTGCTATAGTTACCATGTCTATTTTTTTTTTTCTCTCCGAAGGTCACAAGCAAAGAAAACACACTGCAGATGGTCATTCTGTTATTAAAGCAAAACACATATTTGACTTAACCGTGTAGGACTTCACAGATTGCTTTCAAAGACCCAATTTGTAATCGTAATAGTCCCCTTTTCTGTTCATAAACATGGTGACATATGTTTGTGGGCGGAGCATATAGAAAGGCAAATAATTCTCTGAACACGTTAGTCAACCCTGGCTAGCAAGTTTTGTTGGCTTGTTTTTTTCTTACAATGGCTTCGAGCTTCTCTCAAAATGTACAGTCACTCATTAACCAGGACGATGAGTGTTACTGGTTGTTAACGTTAACCAACAAGACTATATTAGCCTACGCCGCTGATAGTCTGTTTTGCTTTGGGAAAAGCAGACTGGAGCTCCGTAGAGGGCGGCTGGCTAGTTGGTTAGTTAGCTAGCTTGTCCATCTCTAGAGCGGGCAAGTTAGCTATGCAGAGGAAGAGCCCATAAGAGGTCCATCTCTCAATCTCTCCAACAGTTTAGCCTCTTAGCAACATTTTCTCTCCGACTCTGAAACACTTGGCCAATATTAAAGCTCGCTAGAGCCTTGAATCACAGTTTATCTTAAAGATATGCAATATCGATTCTAGCACTAAACAACACAGCAAGATGACATTTTGTATGACGTTTGCGCTATACTCTAAGGTGATTTGTGTTTGCCTTAGTCTTTATTTTGTTGATATAATCAAGACGTCAGCTGTAAAAGGGTCTGTATGGTGCTTTGAGTTGAGATAGCTGCTGTTGCCACATTAGTCTCTTAAGTCATTAGTCTCACATTAGTTCATTTTTATTTATTGCATACACAATTTCCATTAAATCAATATTACCGGACTCTTACTTTTACTCTTCGATGTTACGGTTGCAGCTTAACATGCATTTTAAACTCTAATGATTGCTAGTTATTTAAGCATGTCAAAGCTTTCACATGTTAGTTGCCGCTTTTTCAATTTAAGGATTTTCCCCACTGCTTTCTGTAAATCCTTTGTTGATTTCCAGAACAATAATTACTTTGAGACCAGGAAACAAAGAAAACTTTGAGATCAGGAGGCAGCAGGGGACCAATCCGTTCATTGGATGGATGGATTATTATTTTATTTCTTTACAGTCTCCTTTATTGCAGTGGATTTCTTCTGGTTGGTTTTGCTGCAGTGCTGTCCCTGGTGTGGATCAGTGGACAAAGAGAGAGCTGCTCTGTACAGTACGTCCTTATACGGCACAAGAATCAGTTTCAAGGCTGCTCCATTGAAAGCAATTACTGACACATGGAGACTGAAGATGTATGTTGTTGCACGTCAGATTGATTAATGAGAGGTTTCTTTTCCTGATGGTTTTTGGGATGTTCTTGATGTGTGTGTGTGTATGTTTGTATGAAGCCATTTGTTTGTGCATTAATGTCCTGTGTGTGCGTGTATGTATGTGTGTGTGTGTGTTTGTGTGTGCCTGCACCAACGTAATGGCATGTATTAAATCTGAAGGACACATCGGATGACCCTGTACATAATAGAAAAATATTCATTTCCTGCTCAAGGACAGCCCGGCCAATGAAGGGTAATTATAGTGATAGCCAGCCATGACCCATTTTAACAAGTGAGAGTGCAGGCCTTAACTGTCACATCATTACATCGCGGATAACATGGACAAACCTTTTCTGCTGCATCTCTACACTTAAATACAGACAAACAGGATGAATGGAGGGATGATTAGCTGTTTTTTTATGTCAGTAAAGATGTTTTTGTTACGCAGGAATTTGTCACACAATATGTGCACATTCCTCAGATTGGAAGCAAACTGAAGCTGGGGGATAATCATTCATCTCACATGAGCAGTATCAGCAAAATAGGGATTACAAGCTCTATTAGACCACAAACACTTGAGAGCTTAACGAATCTGTTTGTTAGATTGTTTTTGTTCTGTTTCCAAATACTATTTTTTTAGATTCAAAATGAACTGCTAAATAATATGTGTTAAGATTGTTTTAGTTGTGTCTTTAAATTAATATAATATAATCCCAAAAGTAGACATAAATTTCAGAAAAATGGGTTTGTTATAAAACTCTATCCCTCAGTCAAATAATCCTTTACCAAATCAGAACATATATTGTTATTGATGCAAAACATCCAAAAACAGACCCAGCCAGTCCAATCCTATCACAGAGCCAGAAGTGTAAGTAACAACAACAGCAGCAGTTTATGACTACAAATGCAGATGAGTACAAGAAAGTAGTATGTGTTTTTCTACCTGAGTGGGTGAAGTGAGGATGATGATAACCACTATAATAGGAAAAGCTGTCACAGTTTTTGCAAGAGAAACGTTAAGAAAATGTAATGATGTTATCTTGGCAAACATTCATTGTAAATAATTATGGTATACACTCTATTAAAAGTTACGCTGTGGAGTTTTTGACCACTGCAGCGCTATGGAGAAATGGCTGTGTCCAAAATCACTCCCTTTTTACTATACTAGCGTGTTTTAAATGTTTAAATGTTTATTTGAGTGTCAAAACAGCACATAAATATTCTCTGCTAACGATTTTGTGTTTTGTGCAGTTGTGTTGTATTATAGATGTATTTTATCAGTTAGAACTTAAATTTCAGGGGTCATTTTTTCCTTACCTAAAAAAAGACGAATATTTCATTATCATTTTTTTTAAAACATCTGTCAACATCAACCTCAAAGTCCAGTGTCGGTCGGGCTGTAATTCCAAAATGCATCATGAAATATTGATGTCCTTTGGAAAGTACATTGAACACTGATTGGTTGTCAGCGATGGTCCCTAATATATTTCTTGTTGTAACAAGATGAAGGATTTACACACAAATAAAACCTGCACTGGGAAGAGACAGCAGATGTGAATTTCTAATCCAGACTTTTAATCAAATCATCCTGACAAGTGGCTGACATCAAATGAATAATATTGTGTCTGATGCTCCACAGTATGCGATTTGTTTGGAGAGGCTCGCTTCCAAGCATAAATAATATACTGTTTGCAGAGAGAGAGCAAAAGCAGGAGACAGAAGCAGAGAGAGCAAGTCCAAACAGGTCTTGCAAATGTAATTAACTTCTAATTTCCTTGAGATAAACAACAGAGCAAGAACTCACACTCAAAACTGTAATTAGCTGGCTTATCACGCTGCAAACCCTTGATCTGGATGTGAAGAGACGCAAATGGCTTATAAACATGTTGAATCCTATCCTATCACATATCCTATCATGATCAGACCAGATCCTAATATCTCACATCATATGTGTTATGTGCTCATATTCTTCATCACGTAGTTGTATCACCTCATATGTGACGTGACATTAACATAGTGTGACATGTCGTCAGTGGTGGAAGAAGTACTCCGATCTTTTGCTTCAGTAAAAGTAGCAATACCACAGTGTAAAAATACTCAGTTACAAGTAAAAGTCCTTCATTTCATATTTCACTTCAGTAAAAGTACAAAGGTATTGCATCAAAATATACTTTAAGTTATAAAAGTAAAAAGTACTCATGCAGAATGGCTCGTTCAGCATAATGTAATATCATCACTGATTGTATATGTAATGACTTTATATGTGTGCAGCTTAATCTATAGTGATATATATGATTTTATTTGTTGATAGTATTCTGTATTAATGATCTGAATTTGTAAAGTAACTAGAAACTACATTCAGCAAATACATGTAATGAGTAAAAAGAACAATATTTCCGGAGTATGTACAAAGCAGCAGAAAATGGAAATACTCAGGTGAAGTACCTCAAAACTGTACTCAACATATAGTGCTTGTACTTATATGTATTTAGCCACTTTCCACCTTTGCATACACATATATGCACTACTGTAGTTTATATAATCCTTATGTTAGCATTTAAATAAGATCGGCACCGTTAAACTATTCGAGACATTTTTCTTGAAATTATTTCCACATTCTGAAACCACTGATAATGACGAGTAGTGGAAACTGTCGAGCGCTATAAGCACAGTGTACTGTGGTAATGAAGGTGCCCTGTCTGTTTACATTCAGTGTCCCCTGTATGCATGTTCTCTGTATGCGTGCACAAGGTCAAACACAACGGGGACTCACACAGAAAGACATTCCTTCAGAGCGCTTCTAAAGGTCAAAAACTCCACAGGGAAGCTTGAACAAGAAACGGGGACACAGCCTATATGTTCTGTAGAAGTGTGAATGCTTGTAATTTTATGTTAACCCCATTGGTATTGTTGCACTTTACTTTTGTAATATGGTATTACCATTTTATGTCTGTAATTTTCTTGTTTTTTTTTACGATGCTTTACTGCAAAAAACAATAAAGACATGGACTGAAGTGTTCTGTGTTGCTATCGTTTTGTAGGTTCTATTGTTCTATTCAGCTATATATGTTTTGCATTTGTCACGTGTGAATAGTTCCTCCTCCGTGGAGCTTACAATTTTTTTTGCCCTCTTATACAACTAAATCCTTGCAGCAGGGAATCTCTCAACCTTCAGCCTCATTGTGCTTTAATCAAAGATGCACATCAAGGCCTCCACAGGTGCTGGAGGGAGCAGCGGAGAGACAACCTCGTTCATCTCTGTCGCCTCCCCCAC